GGGGTATGGCGGTACAGTATGGAGGAAGGTAGGGAGTAGTAGGGAAGGAGGGGAAGAAGAAGCTGATAGAATAAGACCTAGCGAATGGAGAAGAAGAAGAAGAAGAAGAAGAAGAAGAAGAAGAAGAAGAGAGGTGAGGAGGGGAAGAAGAAGAAGATCAAGAAAGGTCGAGGAGAAAGATGGAAATGCGAGGGGGAGGAGGGGATGAAGAAAAATACGACAGGACGACGAGGAGAGAAGAAGGAGAAGAAGAAGAAGATGAGCAGAGAAGGAGGGGGAGGAGGACGGCCTTTGTTTGTTTTTTTTTCCGTAACTTTTCGTGTCTCATGTGACCTGCCGAATGTCGATGAACTAGAAGAAGAAGAAGAAGGAGAAGGAGAAGAAGAAGAAGAAGAGGAAGAAGAAGAGGAAGAAGAAGAGGAAGAAGAAGAGGAAGAGGAGGAGAAAGAAAACAAGTGGCGGAGAAGGGGAAGACGAAGAAGAAGAAGAAAGGTTATGGAGGAAGATGAAAACGCGAGGGGGACGAAAGGAAGACGAAGAAGACGAGAGGAGGAGGAGGAGAGAAGAAGAAGAAGAAGAAGAAGAAGAAGAAGAAGAAGAAGAAGAAGAAGAAGAAGAAGAAGAGCCGAGAAGGGGGGGGTAGGTGGACGGCCTGTCATATCTCACGTGACCTACCGAATGACCAAGAAGAAGAAGAAGAAGAAGAAGAAGAAGAAGAAGAAGAAGAAGAAGAATGGCTGCAGTAGGATATGACGAAAAGGACCTGTCAAATAACCGACAAGAAGAAGAAGAAGAAGAAGAAGAAGAAGAAGAAGAAGAAGAAGCTGAGGAGGAGGAAGAGGAGGGGAGAAGAAGAAGCAGAAGAAGATGAGCGGAGGAAGAGGAGGAGGAGAGAAGAAGAAGAAGAAGAAGAAGAAGAAGAAGAAGAAGAAGAAGAAGAAGAAGAAGATGATGAGAGGGGGAGGAGGAGGAAAGAGAGAAGAAGCAGAACAATATGAGCGGACGAGGAGGAGGAGAGGAGAAGAAGAAGAAGAAGAAGAAGAAGGAGAAGAAGAAGAAGAAGAAGAAGAAGAAGAAGAAGAAGAAGAAGAAGAAGAAGAAGCAGAAGAAAAAGAAGAAGAACGGCGCCTTCTTCGCCGGGGCCTTCGTCGTAGCAGCAGCAGCAGGACAGTCGATGGCGATGGCAACGGGCGATGGCGTAGCAGGACTGCGCAGCACCAGGTCGGCACCAACTCCGATCGTGCTGGGGGGCGAGTGGCAGACCACCCCACCCAATCGGATTCGAACGGGGGGGAAGGGTAGCGGCAAGATCCGCCGGCTCTGTGGCCGTCGATCATGGATCGACGGCCACAGAGCCGGCGCGAATTAAAAAAAAAAAGCAGGCCTACCGGCCCCGACGCGACGGTTTCTTGGGCCGGTCAGACCCGGTAGGCCTGCGGCAGATCAATACCAGCCAAAAGGGGGTCTGAAACCCCCCGACAGGTGAGTGCCCTGGGGGGGCCCGGGCCCCAACCGGGTGCCCTGCCCGGCCAGGCCGCCCGGGACCTCCCGCGGGCCCCTGCCGGTCACCCGGGCGGCCCAGATCCCCACTCAGAAAAACAGTAAAAATAAAATAAAAAAAGACTTTAAAAAGTAACGAATTGTTAATAATTCATTACTTGGATATTACCGTACTACTACGGTAGTAGTAATAAATTATTATACAGATAGACCATGTCCGGACCCCCCCAAAAAACATACGCGGGCCTGAAAAAGCCCCAAAACAAATTTGGGGCTTGGCTCCTCAGTGGGGAAGCATCCTGGACCTTCTTTTTTTTTTTTGAAATTTGGCAGATCCAGACGTTCTGGACCAGATGTCTGGAGTCCGGACTGAATCCAGACCGTCTGGACAGCAGTCTGGACGTCCGGATCGTAGCCATGGAAAAATGTGGCGGTTCAACTGTTCTGTTTCAGAAATACTGGTGGTTCAACTGCTGGGGTGTCAGGTCGAAGTTTGGACCGGGGACGTCCCATTACCACAGCTGATTCCTTGAGTTGGGCACATCTTTTTCATTTTGATTTGACGAAAACCAGCCCATTACCAGGGCCGATTGGGTGCGCTGGCTATCTGATATTGCCAACAGTCCATATAACCGCGGTAATGCGATTTTAGGTAGGCTACCAGCCGCCCAGGTCACCCTATTTTCCCGGACGACCCGGCCGTGCAAGGGCCAGGTAAGGTCCTGGCCAAAAAAAAAAAATCAATAAAATCAAAAAAATCCGAAAACAACTATGTTATGCAGAAAAATAAACTGAACAACTTTTGCCTCAGGGTCTCATTTGCCTCATGTACCTTCCTGGGCAAGCTTCGCGCCCGCCACCTAGAGATATGCCGTTGGTCCCCCCGAGTGGCATTGAGCAGAGACTGCTGATTTTCATAGGGGGAGGGGACCGGAGGGGAGGCAGAGTGACTGGCCCATCGAAGAAGCTCAGTCCTGATGCTACCGGCTGACCCCTGGCCGGTATCGCCCACCTGCTGTAGCAGGTTTCGCACCTGCTGGTGGGTGCAGCTCCCGCATGTTCCCTCGTTGGAGGCTTGAGCACGGATGTGGCTGCTACGGGGTTCCCCGTAATACTATAATGACAATCTTTCATCTTTTTTTTCTTTTTTTTCTTTTTAAAAGAAAAAAAAAAGAAATTCTTTACCAAATTTAAAATAAAAAATGAAGTTAAAAAATAATCTTTATTTTTTTATTTTTTTTATTTTTTGTTTGGCCCAGCCGGGCATGTGCCCCCGGGCCACTCGGGTAGCCTAGGATCTTAGCATTTACCTTCTTTTTATTTGTAACAGTGGGGATCGCCCCTTTGTTCCAAGATATTTTCCGAGGAATGATTTCAGGAAACAGACGAACGGGGACTCACCTGCATTTCTTAAAAAAAAAAAATAAAAAAAATTGTATATGGCCACATGAATACCTTTGCATAGCTTTCAAAAACCATCGAGGTGCGAGGAATGAGCCCTCGCAGGGCCATTATCAGACATGCACATGTCCTGGGCAGAGGCCCTCAGCAAGCCCGTGCCCGCCCTAAGTGAAGGCGGGCCTGAATATTCACCAGAGGCCAAAATTTGACATTTTTTCCATATGTGGGTACTCAGGCGGTTGCAGCACGCCAGTTGGTTGAATGGAAGCGTGAGCCTCCCTAAGCTGCATCGTACAGTTGAGCCCAGGCCTTGGTAGTTGCGCCTGGGCGTATACACACACAATGCAGGGCAGATACATCACGAAGTGGCTACGGGCCTACGGAAAGCAGCATTGTCGATGTACATACCCCGGTTCTTGTGCAAATGCAGCAAACGGCCCAAGTCTGTAAACGCAGGCCGTGCCCAACTGTAAAGGGCCCCGGCCCTCAACCGCAGAGCTGGGCCTGGGCGCAGGCACTGGGGCCCGGTTGGAAGCTACTGGAAGCTTCCCAGCCAGGCCACACGCGGGCAAACCAAGGCTGCCACTTCCATATAGGGAAGGAGGCAGCCAGGGTCTGGCATTCTGGCCCACGCAGGCATTGCGGTCACGCTGGTGCGTTGCTGCGCGAGAGGCTGCGTGATGCGTTAGAGGCCAGGGCGCGTGCGGGCGCGTGTGAGGTGAGAGGGGCACTGCTGGCCAGTGGAGCGTAAGCAGCCATAGCCGGGCTGCAGGGCACTAGGGGTTAAGAGGGCGATCGGTGGTTCTCAGGAGGGAGGCGAGTATGGGTGGTCAGGGTCTGTTGAGGGGAGACGAAATACATACCTGGTGCATGAGGAAGGTCAACTATGGTGTTGACGTCATGTACATTGGTCTTCAAAGTCAAAGTCAGCCTGTTGCATGAATGCGGATGTAGTAGGATAGGCAAGTAGTGTAGGCTGGGCGCTGGGCGCCAGACAGAGAGGAGCGACATTGGATACTGTGTTGGTGTGGCCTGAGGGCTTGACCATTGGCTCACGAGTTCATTGTATCGCTCTTGTTTGGATGGAATCTCGGTGCATTTGTGATCTCTGCTTGCACACAACGACTTGGACATCTGTGTGATTTCGCAACTTGGTTTTCTGTATATCGTTCTCACTCATGTTCCTTCCAGAGGAAAAATAAAAATAAAAATGGTCAACGCTGAAACACAGGACTCGAGACTGGTTGTCAGCTACAAGTCGTTGAATTCAATCGTCTTATTCATCTTTTTAAAATTATCTAGTGAGGGGAAGTCTTGAGGTGGTTGAGTGGTCGCACACGATTCTGAGAGTGTGTGCTGAACTGACATTGCGTAGTGCCAGCTGACGCTGCCTCGCGGGCCCAGCAGAAACCGCGGGTGGGCGGGACCATTGTAAGAATGAACAATCCTCCTTTTTTTTTTTTTGCTGTTCGCATCGTTTAGAGTATCCAGAAAGGTCGTGGGAGGGTGGGCTTTAGTTCGCAGGTGTTTGAGTTTCAGCTCTCTTCCGGCACTTGCCTCGCGATCCGACCGCTCTTTTGTTTTTCCGCAAGCTTTCTGTTTCGGGGCCGCGCGTGTCTCTTAGTGTTTGAATACAAGTACATAGGGTTCAGAGTTCTCCACATGCATTTCAGTTTCAGCTCTTTATTTGTGCGCACCTGGGAAGAGCGCGCCTGTATCTTCCAATGTTCCAGCGGAAGATTCTTTCTCATTTTGCACCTTTGGTGAGCAGTCGAGTGAATCCCAGTCAAAGGGAGGAGTGCCAGGAGGAGGAGCGGGATGACAAGCGGGAGGAGGAAGGAAGGGAGGAGAAGGGGAGGACGGCGACGACGAGGAGAATGAATGGCAGGAAAAAAGCGGAAGGAGGAGGGGGGGAAGACGGCAAGCGGGAGTGGAAGGAGGAGGGGAAGATAACACGTGGGAGTGGGATGAGGAGGGGGAAGACAAGCAGGAGCAAAAGGACGACGAACAGGAGGGGGAGGACAGTGGGTCTTTCTCCAATACTCACCACATGCAGAAAAGGCAAAATATGGCCGTGTATCTTTCTTTCTTTCTTTCTTTCCTTCTTTCTTTCTTTCCTTCTTTCTTTTCTTTGACCGTGTATCTTCCCATGTTCTAGCAGAAGATTTATTCTCATGTTGCACACTTGGTGAGTAGCGGAGCGAAGCTCAGTGAACTGGAGCAGCAGCAGGAGGAGGCGGGGTGGGATGACAAGCGGGACGAGGAGAAGGATGAGGAGGGGGAAGACTACGAAGGCGAGGAGAACGAGTGGCAGGAAAAAGAGTGGAAGGAGGAGGGGGAAGATGGCGAGTGGGAGCAAAAGGGCGATGAACAGGAGTGGCACGAGGAGCACAATGAGGAGGGGGAAGACGATGAGTGGGAGGAGGAGGTATGGGAGGACCGAAGCTCAATGAACTGGGGCAGCAGCGGGAGGAGGCGGGGTGGGATGACAAGTGGGACGAGGAGGGAAGGATGAGGAGGGGGAGGACTACAAAGGCGAGGAGAATGAGTGGCAGGAAAAAAAGTGGAAGGAGGGGGGGGGAAGATGATGAGTGGGAGCGAAAGGACGATGAACAGGAGTGGCACGAGGAGCACAATGAGGAGGGGGAAGACGATGAGTGGGAGGAGGTATGGGACGAGGAGGGGGCGAGCAGGACGGCGAGAATGACGAGCGGGAGGAGGTGGACGGTGAACTGGAGGAGGCAGAGGGGGAGGATGACAAGCAGGAGAAGGAGGTTGACGGGCAGGAGGAGGAGGAGATTGGAGGGCTTCGGGAGGGACGGAGGAGGAGGAGGAGGTGGGCGATCAGGAGGTGAGCAAGAAGGACCTGTGGGTGGAGAAGGTGGCTGGAGGAGGAGGTGGCAGGACATGCTGTTTGTGCTTCGGGCGTGTTTTTTTTTTTTTTTGAGAGTGAGAGACGATTCTGCTCTGTTTGTGAGACCTGGCAGGAGATGGGGGGCAGGAAGAGATGTGTTGCGGGCGCTGTGGCAGGCTGACTTTTTCTCTGTTAATCAGAGTTTCTTACCTGCTGAACGCCAACCTTTTTGCAGCCGACCTGTAGGCCAACCGGTCGGCGGTCTGCCAGCCAATAAAAAAATAGCCATCCACTGTTTTTTTTCCAAATCGGAGTTGGGGGCTGTACTGCGCTTGCTGAGTACAGCCCAAATCCGCTGAGAAACTTTTGGGGATTGGGGGGGGGTGGAGGGGGTTGGAGTACAGCCCGACGCTGCTCTTAATCTGAAAGAGGCAGCTAACTTGTTTGATGTGCTTACAACTTATCATCATCTTCAATTTCAGAATGTTTTATGCATGTCAGAGCCAAGCGGGAAGCCGATTCACAAGCCGAGAACACTGAGTATTCTCAGGGCTCAGGGTCGTGGGTTCACCGGAAAGAAAGTCAGTTGCATCAGCTAAAGGGTTAAGTTTTTTTTTTTTCCTTTTACTTTCATGTTTTTCTTTGTTTCTTGAAGAAAAGTATAAAATAAAAGAAAAAGCTGTTCGAGTCCCAGACAATTTCCGACTGAGGTGCTAGAAGTGGACACTATAGATCTAGTGGCTCGGAGGGGGTCTCAGTCATTGGAAGTCTACCTGTCCCGTTGCTGTCCTCTTCTCCTGGTCACCCAATCCCTGCGCACCGCAGTTCTCTTCACTGCAGCTATAGCTGCCACTGGTGGAGCTGTTCGTCCGTGACGGCTCCTCCGTTCTCCTTCGACAAAGTGCAGGGTGCAGCAGCTTGATGCTGCGCCAAAACTAGCGCATGTGGGGCAGCAACTTCCGAAGAGAAGAATGACCCTTTGGCCCCGTCTCCGTCGTTTTTGTTCGCTGGGAGAGGTCGCGGTTACTTCCTGCAGGCTGGGCCTACCTGCAAGGACAATGAGCGAGAGCCATAGACAGAAAACCAAATTGCAATATCACATTGAAGACCAGATAGTCGTGTCCCAAGCAGAAAGCAAAATGCACTGAGATACAAGCCAAATAACAGCAATGTCAAGGTCAGCCTCTTCTCGCCACCATCAAATAATGTATCCAATGCCACCCTTCTATTGGTGCTCAGCGCCCAGCCCATCTTTACTCAGAACCTATACTAGCCTACATTACGACATGTACGTGGCGAAGTCGCCCATGCAGACTGCCGCATACACCAGGTATATGTCTCTTTTCCCTCCCTCTCTCACCAACTTCTTCACCCACCATCTGCGCCTACTACCCAAAGACCACCATCACCCACACCAGCATCCGCTCGGCCAGCCAGGCTATGGCTGTCGTGCGCCCACTGTCCCTGGCAGCGCCCCTCACCTCTGTGCGCCTGTGTGCGCCCCAGCCTCCAGCGCCCAGCATCCTCCAGCGCTCAATCCAGCCCCGCTGATGCCGAGTAGCGCGAGGCCAGAATGAGCCTCCCAGGGCACAACACTTTCCTATATTGGAAGTGCTGCCCTGCTTCAGCAGCCTGGGCATGGAGGCCGAGCTACCAGTAGCCTGGCTTCGGGCCCAAGCGTCTGTGCCCAGGCCCAACACAGATAGTGGCCTGGCCCCCCAACAGTTAAGCAACCCAACTGTGCAACGTGGCCAGCGTCACTTGATGCATTCTCATTGCCCGAAAGGCCTGAAGCCACTTCGCTTCCTGGAAGAGCCCAGAGGGCTCACAATGTTGTGATCACACTGGCATGGGCCTTGTAACCAACCGGCGCGAGGTAACTGTCTGGCGCCCCCAAATGCAGAAATGACAAAAAGAAGGCCTCGAGTTGAAATGCAGGCCTGCCTTCACTCAGGCCGGGCACGCGGCATGCTGTGGGCCCCAATAGTGTTGGGCAAAATGACCTTGCGAGGGCTCGTTCCTCACATACCAGTAGAAGCTTCCCGACAGCTGCCACATGCTTCCACATTCCTGGGCCTTTGCTTAGGGCCCCACAGTTATTTCTGAATGCCTGGGCCTTCCCTTAGGGCCAGGCTTTATTGGTAGTATGCCAGAAAAACTTCAAAAAGAAGATTGACGCAAAACACCCTCACACACTGGCTATAAGCAAGCAAATTGTCCATTGACAAAAACTCAAATTTTCTTGTTTTCATTGGGGTGGAGGGGAGGGGGTTGAAGAGTGGATCAAATAGTTAATATTGGGGTCTGCTTTGTCTTTCTTGTTCATTTTCAGGACCTTGTATCATAAACTGGCTGCAGAAAAAAAGGGAAAGAATCTAGGGAATCGTACGGATTGCTTTTTTCCTTTCAAGTTTCCAGGGCATAGGCCCTCGATCTATTCAACTGATCTGATTCCATCGGTTTTTTTTTTTTTTTTTCCCCAAACAAAGGGGCCAGTGCCAGAGGCTTTATTAGCAAACCGGGAAGCGGGCCCAGGGTCCCTCACAACCAGATGGCTGCCCACCGGCCTGGACAAGGCACTCCTGCGAAGTCCAAACTTGGCAGCCCAAAGCCATAACCGTACACCAACATCCAACTGCATTTCCTCAGGGCAGCAGGGGAGGATTCCATTGGGATTTGAACTCATGATCTGTTTACTAACAGTTACATGTGTGTACCATCCAACCACATGGGCTGGGTGAGAAAGAACGGGTGAAATGTGAAATTGAGAGAAGAATATAGGAAGTACGGGTATAGTTTAATTAGCAATTTGGCAAAAAAATTGAATAAAACGTGGGAAAATTGTTGAAATACCCCTAAAGGTTGGGTTATTTCGCTAGATACCCGTAAAACACAGGGGTATGCGGAAATGCCGTCAACTTTGCACCTGCCCCTGTCCCGATCAACTTCTCCATATACCCTAGCCCCAGGCTAGAGGGCCCGGCACATTTTTTGTGCCATCTGCAGGGTCCAACAGCCATAAATACCAGGGCATATAGATAAGTTGCCCAGGGCTTGGTAGGGGTATATGCAAAATATTACAGGGGTGCTTTGCAAAGTTTTGCAATTGTCATGGAGGCATTTCACCATACCCATGCCTTTTAGGGGTATCTGACGAAATACCCCAGCTTTCAGGGGCATTGGAACAATTTTTCCATAAAACATATAAATCCTTTTTTGAAACCACCAGTACATCCGAGAACCGCTGCCCGCCAAGCTTTGCCGAAATGCCAGCGCAACATTTTTGTTTTACTTCTGGCTGGCTCCGCCAACCAATTTTGGTCTTTTTTCGGTATACCCCAGATTGCAGGACTTCCTTTTTTTTTTTTTGTCAGGACTGTTGCGGCAATGTATGCACTTTAGTGGCCTCAAAGCAAATCGGTGTGAGACATAGGGCCTCAGTCCACTATTCACCAAATGTGCAAATTGAGAATGAATCTTCCACTAAAACATGGAAAGATACACCGCCTTACTTCGCTACCCAATCGTTGCCACCCCAAGTTCTTTCGAAATCCTCTATGCCCTGCTCCCCATTCACAGCATTCAGTATCCTTCTCCTGTACTCTCCACATGCACAAAAGAGAAGAAGTGTGATGATGTATCTTTCCATGTTCTAACACAGAAGATTCATTCTGAATTTGCACATTTGGTGAGTACTGGAGAGAGCCCCTTTGTCTCACACCAGTTTGATGTTGGGGCACTAAAGTGCGTCAGTTGCCAGAACAATAATAAAAAAAAAAAGTACATATAAAAAAAAAGCCCTCTAATCTTAGCAGATTGGAAATTCATGATGCCCTTCCACTGATCAACTATAACGTCTCTCCCCACGAATAAAAGCATTAATCCCTCCCCTTCCTTTTCTTTTTGAACTATGTACCTGGGAGCCGAAGGCTCTTTGAAGATTCAACGGCGCCGCAAAAGAAAGAGAAGAAAAAGAGAAGAAGGATTGAACGGAATTTCAACCGCTATTGTTTGGTCACAATCTACCGAAGACCATTGCCAGGTCAGCAATCATGCATGTACGTTTCTTTTCTTTTTTAACTACACTTTATTCTTCTCTCAAAATCCTTTTTGCCTTTCAGTACCTACCCACCACTACTCCTAAGGCTATATAGAGAGGACCCCTGCAAGCATAGCTACCTCACAACAAAGGGATTGCATGTTGCCGCTCGCCCCAACAGCGGTAGTCAGAGATGGGGTGGGGCCGCCACTGGGGGTCTGGCTAACCCAAAGACTCAGCTTTTTTTTTTTTTTTTTTTTTTTTTTACTATGTTCTTCTCTCGAATTTTTTTTGGTCGTCGGAGATCTGCTAAATCTTTTTTTTTTTTTTTTTTTTTTTACTAGGTTCTTCTCTCAAATTGTTTTTGCCTTTCACTACCTTCCTACCACTACTCCGAAGACTATATATATTTTTTTACCTTTTTTTTTTTCTCCGAAAATCAATCTTTTTTTTTCCATTTTCTTTCTTTTTTTTTTAATATTAAAAGGCTAATTCTTTAAGTCCAACCAGTTCAATTACCTGTCAAATCTGGACAGGACGGCCAATGGGCCCAGAGCACATCAAAAAAGTAATCAAAAATAGATCAGGACCCAATAGGCCTCTGAACTGTAACCCCAGGTAGAGCCTCACCCCTCCTGCAAGCAGGGAAAACACACCCCCAAGGTCTCTCGCCTTCCACTTCTTGTAATACTACTACTCTCTTCTCCTGAATAGAACGCCCAATCTGTCTACGGTGTACGCTTTGTTTGGCTCCGTTTTGCATGCGTAGTGGAAGGTACTGACATTGAGGTATCTGCTGTTCCGTTCTCATGCTCAGGCAGGCTTGCCAGACTGTCCTTCTCTTCTTCGTCCTCTTGGGGCAACTTTCAGTCCCCATAAGAAGTTGCACCAAATACAGCTATAATTATTTGCGGGCTACCTCAGTTGGTTGAGCATCTAAGTGACACTCAGGAGGCCGTGGGTTCAATACCCAATGTCGTCCTTTCAATCCCTCCAGCCTCCTGGGTATGCTTCAGATTCACCACCGGAGACTGTTGACTTGGGCGTCCAGGCTGGTTGTGGAAGTGATTGTTTCTTTCCAGCCTGCACCAGGTGTTAGGAGCTTGGGTACTGCTCCCCACAGAGCAGAGATAGGTAGGCGTAGACCCATAACCTCAGGATAGCTTA